TCCACAGGCCAAGTGACAAATGATGCGGTGCATTCTGGATAACGTGATTTTCATTGACCTTTTCATTGATGCAACGATGTAGTTGAAACATGACTGACAACTGACAATTACGCTCAGTGTTCGCAACCCACTGCCGTCCAAAGGGCGAGTGCACGAGTCGATTGCCAGAATATAAGGGATGCAGGTGGCATCTTCGTCATAATGTGATACATGTTTTCCCTCTTCTTTTCTTTCCTTTTTACGCACTTTTATATATCGGTTTTGTTTTTTTCACATGTGGTGGCGGGCCGGCAGCACTCTGAGTAAGGGTTTTCGCTATCTGTCTAGCCCGGGCCGCACACCACCACATGGGCCCTTCCAGTTTGTGCAAATCTGTGACATTCCATTTGCTGGGTTCTGTCCTTCAAGCCTCTACTTGCTTTGACCGACCCGTCACCTTATAGTGTTATGAAGGTATCTAAATAAATGAAATGAAATTAAAAATGAAATTAAATTATTATTATTATTATTATTATTATTATTATAACAATCCTATTTTCGGCTCACAAGTAGTTTGTGCCAAAACAGAATAATATTGCTTTTTAGTTCGCGTTATTTCGCCATATTCATGTATCTGCATAAAACGAAACACAGAGCTACCTTTCATGCTCGACGTAGCATTTCCGAGATTCCTAACTCTCCACAACTTCCTAAACGTCCGTGTGTGTCCTAACACCAGAACCCTGAATTTTAAAGGTTAAAAACGGCACGTTGTGAACATGGAACGCACATTTTCATGCAAAGCTGACGTCAAGTGACTCAAATCGCAAAACATGCATATTTAGAATATTGTTGTCTCTTCTGGTGAAGGCTCAGCAACCGCTGCATTCGTTTTCGCGCACGAAACGGCGACTTCCCAGAGAAAGTAAGAACGCAGTGATTGCCTTTATTTTAACAATGTAAACACACTTGCAGGCGTGCGCTGATGAAGTCTCAAAATCAGAACTCAGGTAGCGTGATTCGTGACTGCGCCGGCGCGACTACTACCCAACCTCGTTGTCACGCCATTTTCTGGAAGCAGACACTAAAATTGCAAGTAAACACAAAAAAAGCGACACCGATACACTTATCTTGCAGAATATCACCTTATTTAGTAATGACTCTGTCAATAGGCACTACATGTTGTATTTAAGTTAAGAAGAAAAAAACATAAACCTTTTTTCGTGAGAAAAAAAACTAAATATCAACGTTAAGTCTGGAAAAGAGCTAACGTAATACCTGTTCACAAAACTGGTGATCGCCTACAACTAATTACCGTCCCATCTCTCTCACCATTGTTCCATCTAAGCTCATGGAGCATATACTTTACACAAATATAATAAAATTTCTTGACTCTCATAACCTTCTTTTGAACATCAGCGCGGATTTCGTAAATCTTACTCTTGCGAAACCAGCTAACCGCCTTCCTTACTGATATTTGTTCAAGCTTCGATTCGAATATTCAGACCGACGTCTTTTACAAAAGCTTAACGATATTAATATTCATTCCTCTGTTGTTAAGTGGATTTGTGAATTCCTAATTAGCCGTAAGCAATATTCCTCCGTTAACAACGTAAATCTCCCGCTCTACCGTAACGTCAGGTGTTTCCTCTGTGCGCCCGTTCGCCGACGATTGTGTCACTTACCGACCCATTCTTTCATACCATGATCATCATGCTCTCCAGGAAGACCTTGAGTCTGTAATCCATTGGTGTGAAAAATGGCAGATGACGTTAAACTTCGATAAATGTAGATCCCTATCATTTCCCGCAGTTCGCGTGCCACACCATTTCCGTATTACCTAAATAACAATCAAGTAATGGCATGCTCATCTTATAAATACCTGAGTGTTCATGTCATCTCAGACCTATCATGAACTACTCACATAACTTCTGTTATTTTTGATACTAAGCGTTCTCTCGAATATTTGCGCCCGTAACCTCAAACTAGCTGCACGCTCCGCAAAACGACTAGCGTATATACTACTCTTATCAGATCGAAG